TGTGGGAGGGGATTTTAATGTAGTGCGGTTTACAGAGGAAACCAACAACCCCGAACAAAGAGTGACAACTAGTATGAGAAAGTTCAACCATTTTGTGGATACTTGTGAGCTTAAAGAAATTCCACTCCTAAATAATAATTTCACTTGGTCCAACCTTCAATCGAGGCCAGTATGCTCCAAGCTGGACAGATTCTTGTTCTCAACAAACTGGGAGGAACATTGGGGTAACCTAGTATCTAGGGCACTCCCAAGAATTACTTCAGACCATTGGCCTATAGTGATGTGTAAGGAGGAATTGAGAGGTGATGGACCCACTCCATTCAAGTTTGAAAATATGTGGTTGACCCATCTGGGGTTCAATGAGAAGATCAGGGAGTGGTGGGAACAATCTAATCCGGTAGTAGAGGGAGGGAATGAGGTTGCACAAGAAACTTCAATTTCTAAAATCACAATTAAAGGAGTGGAATACGTTAGAGTTTGGAAAAATAGAGGAAAGGAAACAAGTCCTATTGGAGCAGATTGAGGATTTGGATATGAAGGAAGAGAGGGGATCCTTTGGAGAGGAAGACAGGAAAATGAGATGGGATTTGAGGAGGCGGATGGAGGATATTCTGATTAAGGAGGAAATAAGTTGGAGGCAAAAATCTAGGTGTAAGTGGCTAAAGGAGGGAGATAGAAACACTAGAGGCCTTAGTAACTCATTTCAAATCTATATTCAGAAGGCCTTTGAATGAGAGGGTGTGGTTGGAGGGTTTGGAGTGGCCGACTCTAAGTGCAAAGAACAGAGAGTTGTTGGAAAAGAGGTTTGATCCGGAAGAGATAAAGGCAGCAATATTCTCAATGGATAGGACAAAAGCTCCAGGCCCAAATGGCTTCACAATAGCTTTCTATCAGGATTGTTGGGATATAGTGGAGAAGGATCTTAGTTCAATCTTCGAGGAGTTTCACAGTAGGGGAATAATTAATCCGGGCCTGAACTCAACTTTCATTGCTTTGGTCCCAAAGAAGAAAGAGGTATCACAACCTAAGGATTTCACACCTATCAGTTTGGTGAATAGCTTGTATAAAATAATTGAAAAACTGTTATCTCTCAGGATAAAGAAGGTCCTCCCCTCTATTTGCACTCAACCAAGGAGCCTTTTGTAGAGGGAAGACAGATCACTGATCAAATCCTCATTGCAAATGAGAGTCTGGAGAGCTTCAGGAAATCTAAGAAGGGAGTGGTATGCAAATTGGACTTGGAGAAGGCTTATCACTTAGTGGATTGGTCTTTTTTAGTGGAGGTGTTGAGAAGCTATGGCTTTGGAGAAAGGTGGTGTAAATGGATTTGGGGCAAGGTTTGTTCTCCCCTTCGTTTTTCAGATGGCCTAAGAAGCGAGGGAAGATGATGTGGAGGAGTATTAGGGCAGCCGTGTGTTGGTTACTGTGGGAGGAAAGAAACTCTCGAACATTTTCAAAAAAGGAAAGATCTCTGGAAGACCTATTAGACCTAATACTTTTAAGGGCTGCCCACTGGCTAAAAACTACGAAACTATTCTCAAACTTGCCTATAGCTGACCTGTTAAGAAAATGGAAAGAGATAGCAACCTCTACTCTGTGTAAGAGGATTCTTAGTCCCTTGTGGTCCCCTCCTCCCTCCAGATTTATAAAAGTGAATTTTGATGGTAGTAGCATAAGGAATCCAGGGCCCTCTGGAATTGGGGGAGTTTTCAGGAATGAGGAAAGGATTGTTATTGCTCTGTTCTCAGGCCCTATTGGAGGAGACTCTCTTAGGGCTGAGATCCTTGCAGCTATGGAAGGGGTTCAAAGAGCAAGGGAACTAAATATCAGTTGGCTGATTTTGGAAGGTGATTCAAAGGTGGTGATTAGCTGGTTGAAGAAAGAGGACAGTGGCTTGTGGAGTTACAATAATGAAAAGAAAAAATTCTTATGGCTATGTAGAGGCATTGAGATACAATACAGCTGGGTGAAAAGGACTGCTAATTCTTTTGCAGATGGGTTGGCCAAGCAAGGGGTGAATAGGGAGGCTATTTTTTGGGCTAATTTTAATCTTCTTTCATTGTAATTTGTTGATGGGGAGCTAAGACTTTTTATCTCCCCCTTATTGTACCTAAAGTTTCATAAATCTTAATAAAGTTTTTGTTATTGATAAAAAAAAAACAACCCACTGTGTCCAAATCTTCCACTGAAGATGAATATAGGGCTATGTCTTCCGCGTGTAGTGAGATCATATGGCTTCGATTTCTTCTATTTGAAATACTTAACGAACCATCATCGTATGTTTCTCTCTATGTAGACAATGTCAGTGCAATTAAATTTGCTTCCAACCCCGTCTTCCATGAGAGCACCAAAAACATAGAAGTTGATTGCCACTTCATCCGCGACCTCCTTCTTGAGGGTACCATATCTCTTCCTCATGTCTCCTCCAGGCTCCAACTAGCAGACTTGTTAACTAAAGCAATGACTCAGGCTCGGCATCTATTTCTCATGGACAAACTGATGTTTATTCCTAGCAGTTTGAGGGGGAGTGTAGAGACAGTGAGAAGATCTAGCCACAGGGCTATTTTTGTACTTTTACTCTTCTTTGTTGTACAACTATTCTTTGTGCTCTCTTTCTTTTGTACACTAAGGGCAGATTTGTCCTTTTACCTTTTTAATATAAATATAACTTTTAGGGTGTCAACTTACACATTGTGTCACACCCACCAAATCTGTTGTCTCTTTATTTCTCTTTCTAAACATTCGACTTGACTCTGACAGAAGCTGATAAATTCTAGCATAATGTCTCTATTCTGAGTAAGTGGCCTTTTCTTGTTCCCATATTTCTTTTGCTATTTCAGCCCACATAAGGTTCTGCTTAACAGAAGGTAACATGGATGTCAAAAGGCATGACATAATCATGCACTTTTCTTGGTCCCATTTGTCATATTCAGCAGTACCAGCCCTAGGTTTTTTCACTTTTCCATTTATATATCATGCTTTATCCCTGGCTGTAATGTACAATCTCATCTCCTTGGACCACCCCAAGTAATTTCTGCCATCTAAGGGGGTAATAATCATTGGGGAGTTTGTTGTATCATGATCACTGTTTAAACCACTCTGATTAGAGGTGGTTCCTGAAGTTGCAGAGTCTTCATAAGCTATAAGTAATCACTTATCAGTGAAACCCAAATCTGTTATTACAGTCCAAACACAGAGGACAGCAGCCCACACTTCTTAGAGTAATTTTTGAATCAAAAAAGAGTTCCAGAAAGCACAACACTTTCTGTTACACACATTAACAGGTCTACCAGACTCACCAATGCTAGTACAAGACACAAAGCATCAATAGGGCTGCTGTAGTACTTCAGAAAACTGAACCAGGTCATTCATGACCTACAGAGGTTCAACACTCACACAGTTCTGGATCTACAGATCCACAAAATAGGGTTCGGACTTCCCTTATACCATTCGGCCAAGGCAGTCCACTGCCTGTTCTTGGTAACCAGACCAAGAACCAAAAAGGAGGGCTTAGTTCTTGTTCTTGTTCAGTTCGAGTAGGTTTCTGGAGGCTCCAGTCCCTCTTAGAGGAGATTCAAATCACCATCCGCTGATTTCTGGAGTCAGTCCTTCAAGGTTCTGATCAACCTGTGTAAGTGAGGAAGCAGTCGATGTGTTCTCAGTGCAAGTCCAACCAGGTTTCTTCCATTCTCAGTCCAGTGAAGTGGTGAGGAAGCTTCGGCCAGAAGAAGATAGGTTTACAGAGCCTTACCCTGCTCTGATACCATGATTTCAGAGAAGAAGGAGAAGAAGAGAGGAAAAGAGAAGAAGATTAGAGAGGCAAAAGTGTTGGCTGGTGGCGCCAGCTTTGTATTTATATTCTAGGGTAGCCGAACATAATAAAATAAAGGGAAAAGGCAAAAGTGCCCCTTGTGGCACATAACAAGTTAATATTACATCAGATATCAGGGATACAGACTACTTCATGGCACTATATCATCTTCATTAAATCTACTTCTATTAGCTTTGCATGGATTTCCTCGTTAACTTTCTTCTGTATGGTTCTTCTCCAGCAAGCCCAGCATCCCCCTCCCAACAGCAAATCATACATGTCAGTCTTAGTTTGTAATCGCAAGGAATAAACAAGCTAACAGAAGTAAATAAGAACAATATGGAACTGCAGCAGGAATAGTATTTTATGGATGTAATAATTGTCAAATACCGTATAGCACTAGCACAAGCCTGAGGTTGATGTGTGCATTGAGTTGGGATATGATTGTAAGTGGAGGGAGACTTTCAGATTGTAATTTGGTGGATGAGTAGTCTAAGGGACCCCTCCTAGGTTTGGCTAATTCTCCCACTGGGGAGTGGCGAGTTGTTTTGGGGTGCCAGGCAAGGATATACATTTTGTTAGAATGCTTGAAATTTCAATGTTACGTTTTGGTTTTGAAGGTTGTGATAAGATGTATATGGAATATAAGTTCCCACAATTTAAGAATGAAATTACAAAGAAATAGGAGGGCTAGCACATGCAGAGAAAAAAAATAGAATAAGAGATACCTAAATGGATAAGAAATAGGAAGTACCAGAAAAAGCAGGAAATAATAATAATTTGAACAAGTAATTCATTTTTAATAATACATAAAAAGGTAAGTTATTTTTCATAACTGGTAATCTTATTTTTTTCTTTGAAATTTCAATCAATAAGTTTCAGCAAAACTTTCATTTCAGACTAGGTCCATTACATGGTTCAAAAGAAAATTTAAATGCTTCATGCTTAACCACAGGAACAGGATCTTCTTTTATATTGCCATTGCATTTTATGATGGCTTTGTTTATGTTGGAAGATTCTCTTGCAGATTATATTTGTTTCCTTCTTTCTATTTGCTGGTTAGACCTACTGGGACCTAATTTTTATGTCCCTCTATTCTCTCATTCTCTGCCATAGAATCCTTCAGTTCTTTTTCTCCTGGAGGGAATAAATTGCTCCTTAAATTTGATGATATTATTTACTTACACAGAGAACGAGGGAAAGCAGTACCGGAACTATGACAACTCCTCCCACAGTGAAGAAGCTCGAGAGGTTGCAAACCATTCAAAAAGAACACAAAGATGCACTGGAAAGAGCTGTTAGTTTGAACGTTCCTCATGCTGTGAAACCAGAGGAAGAAGCCATTGGCTCTGGGGAACCAGATATGGGGGCTTCCCAGAACCAAGCTGAAGAAACCTCAAATGGGACATCAAAATCCAACGAAGGAAGAACTAACTGGAATGAAGTGGTCAAGAAGCTTTACAGCAAGAAGGAATCAGGAGAACTTCATCTGAAGAAAGATGATGTCCCAAAATGACAGCCAATTCTTTCCATGTGGTCACATGCATCATCAGGCTACTTAATTTGCCTTGCTGCTTCATTTTTCACTCTGTTCATACAGGTTTTTTTTTTTTTGTATACTGGAATTTGTAAACTACCTTCTCATATAAATAGAACTGTCAAGAAAGTAAGATCAAGAGAAAGGAGAATCTAATAAATGAATTTGCTAAAATGGAAGGGTACCTTCAATGTTCAATCTGTCGGAGTGCTGCAGTTATTATTTCTGTGTAGCATATGCATTGTTCTGTAACAAAACAAGTTTATCTGTGTAGCATGCATGGTTTGTAAAAGAACAAGAGATTTTGATGGCTTTTTCTTTTTTTATTCCAGTAGAGTAGTACTGCATATCATTAATGAACTACTAGTCTTCAGACTATCCTCTAGGTGTCACATTTGTCGCTTGTTGACGTCTTGAAGATACTCAACCATTGTGTTAAAACGGCATTCCTACTTGTACGACTGTTATTGCAGACCCATGCATTCAGATTTTGATTTCCATATTTCCTAGAAACAAGATTATCTTGGAATTCTAAGCACTGAGATGGTAATACTAGGAATCAGGGTTGAATGAACGCTTAGAAAATAGAAATTGCAAAAGCTAATAGCAGACGACAGAATCTTGTTGACATTACCTTTTATGTACCAAACCAACCATCAACTGAATTGGCTTGTGTTGTGACAAAGTTCCCCGAGTATAAATACTGAGGCGCTGTGCTTCCTAACCGGAAGAACGTTTATGGTCCATGGGAGAACAGCTTTTTCATGGACCATAATCGCACACGCGCACAATTCAACCTAAAAATTAACCGAACTCTTTGACGCTATTGATTATTTTTTAAAAGCATCACGTCGTCCTATTTTAAAGTTTTAATGCAAATGCCAAGCCATACGAAAAACAAAAGAACGAATCATTCTCTTCCAAGGGATAAGGCCGATGGAGGCTTTTTACTTTCGATGTGCAATGCGTATCCGTTTTACAGCTTCCCTTTGAATAGACAACGATAGTTCTCAGGAGTCAACACCTGTAATTTTTTCTTTTAGGATATATTCAAGTTCCGGGAGAATGTTTAGGCACTGTCCATCAGAAATATGCTACCAGAGTTTCTGTAACGAGACAGACCAGACGGCAGACATGGTTTTGGGGCTACAATCGCTTACCAACTGGATGTTTTCTTGATGCAATCAACTTAAAGAAGGAAATACACAAAGTAACAAGAAAATAGTCAACAATGAACAAACATGACCATACCGGGGGGATCTAGACCCACAAACAAGTCCTGCGTCCCCTGATTGCTTTCACCAATCACCAAAAGGTAGAATCGTGATGTCAAGTGCGCCTCCACATCATAGCATGCCATTGGCAGCATCAGATTCACAGTCGTGCATGGTCACATGGTCAGCCTGCAACAGGGGGAGAGTCTGCCTCATCTATTATACACTAATCAGACATTGATGACTCCAAAAACATTTTTTTGAATTTTTTCTTTCCTTAACAAAACAGATTTAAGGATTAACAAAATATCTACCAAAAACACTGGAGTCGATGCCCAAGGAACGACCAAGGCAGGTGCAGGAGTCAAATTTCAGAATAAAGCTAATCAACATCTAAGGGATTATACACCAATATTTATCTAAAGAAACTCGCAGTTCTAGATATCACAGCTTTTAGTCTACTGGGAGCAAAGCAAGAGCCAAGAACCAAAAATATCCCACTGCAGCTGGATCCCTTTTTCACTTTTGTACAGCTAAATCAGCCAGCCTTAACAACCACTAAATTCTTCAACTCTAGTAGCTGCAAATCACTAGGATGTCTGCATAGCTTCAGCATGATAGTTCTCCAATTCTTTGTCCAGTTCCTCAGCAGATTTCTCTGTAGTTTGCTTCCTTCCCCGGCCACGGCCACGACCACGGCCACGGCCACGGCCACCACGGCCTGCTCCCCTGCGGCGGCTCCACCTGCTATAATGGTTAAACAAAAGCATTCATTAGTTCACTGTAATGGCAAGGATTGCTCCTACAGCAGGCAATACAGATCAAAGAGTCATGAGATATTCAACAATCTCAAAGAGTAATGGATCTGTGGTCACAGGAGATTGGATAGCAAGGATCAAATCATCAAAATATCAATACAATACACCCTGTAAATGGATACATTGATAACAAAAAAAATAGTTAAGAGGATTTTAATAGCATCCCTCTAAAATTTTTACAATTAAAAAAAAAAAAAAAAAAAAACGAAAGAGTATCACCCTATATACACCAAAACCCACTTGAGGCTGTCAGGCAAAATAGACATTTTGAACCTTGTTGGATGGTATGGTTTCACTTGTGATGGTTTATTTCATGTTTCGGATATCTCATTCATTGCCTAAAGGTTCATTTAGGTTATTACTGATGCACATTAAACAAAAACCCCCAATCAGTACTTAAGATATGGAATAAAAGATCCAAAATAAATAGGCAAACTAACGATCTTCTATAAGAGCACAAGGAATTATATTCCTGGGAGTAATCCATACCATTCTAAACAAACACTCCTTTGAACAAACAAACCAGCATGGAGAAATCAACTAATCAACACTTGGTAAAAAAATAGAAGGAAATGCAGAAATTCGAACTACAACTTTAGTTACAAAAACCAGGAAAATGGCCCTAAAACTAGTCAGAGAATGCAATAAAACCGTAATAACTTGTTTATCACTTCATAGAATCCCTGCTAACTAGAAAAGTTCATATGAAACCATCCTTATGACAACCAAAATAGCAAATACGCAACATGGTTATTTTCTTAATTTTTTATGGTAGTGGCAAAAGAGAGGAAGTGTTTGTACACATAGAGGAAAAGTTCATGTCCAGACAGTTGGATTGACCTGACATCACAAATCCATTTCAGTAACAGTTAAAAAGAATTTGTCAAGCCAATGTGTAGATCAGCATGCACATGCAAGGTAGTTTTATATTAATACTGCAGACTCATCCAAATTGATCAGCCAGTCAAACCAGATTGACTATGGCTCCAATGACCGATCCAGTTAAAATTAATTCAAATTTTAGTCATATTCCCCAGACTAGAAATGTTTTATATACCTTGATCATCATTGCTAACATTTCTTTTCATTCAGAAAAGAAAGGGGAAATGAAACCTAACAATCATAAAATGGAAATAAAGCAATGCCTATTTTTCACTTCCCATAGTTCTTGGCAAACAAAACTTCAGTTCTCCATCTTGGTCAACACTGCATTCCTTTCCATCTTGTGCACCCAATTATAATTAGGCTTAATTTGGGTCCACAAATTTGAAACATGATGGGAATCGAGCTTGACATGATTTCATGAGATTTCATGTGAATTAATAACTCGTGTATGGTACATGCTACAATATCACACAACATAAAGACTCAAAGCACAGGCAGGCTTCTAAATGGATTCAGAATACAAGATTTTTTCAATCAATGACAAGAAGATAGTAATTCAACTGAAAACAAAGTTCACAGCAAAATTGTTTCTAAGCCATAAGATGGCAGCATCTGCATGAAGCAACTTACCCAGAACCACGACTGCCTGCAATAGAACCTCTGCCCCGACCTACACCAGGCCTGTAGAACTTCCAAATGTCAGATTAGTCTCAAAGGTCAAAAGAAAAAATATAAATAATCAAAGAACTAAAAAATATTAAACAAATAAGTTTCTATTTTATACAATAGCTTTCCTGCTAGCAAAATGGTTCAGGAAGTGTACTACCCCCCCCCCCGTCCCGACTATGGGGTTAGTTTTCAAATATGGGGAAATACTCGAAACTTTGTAAACAAGAATAGCAAGAAACAATATCACTTTCCAGCATTATATATAGCATTGTACTGAATACTGAACTTCAAATAGAAGGGGCACACCAATGGAAACTTCCACTGTATCTTAGCTTTGAACTACTGCAGACTTGGTTACTACTGATCATTTGGAATTAAAAAAGAGATAAAAAAAATTATCTCTACAATATCACTGTATCCTTAATATCCCCACTTTGACACAGCAACGAGGGAGTGCCCAAATAGATTCAGGAACTCAAGTAACTTTTCAGGAACTACTGTAAAAAAAAGGAGGCGATTATATTAGCCTGGGTATAGCCCACCTATTACAATTCTGTCTAAAGTCTGTTTATCCACGCAGCTCAATCAGTCCCTCTCATAAAAAAAAATATTGAAGAGCATTCAGCATTGCCCTAATCAAGTTTGCTAGACTGAAAGGTTGAGTCTTTGAACTAAGAGCATTCAGCATTCAAGATTATATCTGTGTCCGCCATCATTATATAAACATGGTAATTTTACTGGTTATTTCAACTTGGAGAAACATTGTATTCTGCTAATAAAATGTTGTTTTGAGTTGTTAGAAAATCRATATGAACTATTAAGTTTTTATATATAAAAATATGAACTATGAAGTTTATGATTGAAAGGTTGCTAGACTGAAAGGTTGAGTCTTTGAACTAAGAGCATTCAGCATTCAAGATTATATCTGTGTCCGCCATCATTATATAAACATGGTAATTTTACTGGTTATTTCAACTTGGAGAAACATTGTATTCTGCTAATAAAAKGTTGTTTTGAGTTGTTAGAAAATCGATATGAACTATTAAGTTTTTTTATATAAAAATATGAACTATGAAGTTTATGATTGTGTAGTTTTATTTTGACATGTCCATGCAGTTTGTGTTGCCCCAGTTACAAGAAGGGAAGCCCAGTGAACTTGGGGCGAATTGCAGATTCCTGTGAACCATTGAGTCTTTGAACGCAAGTTGTGCCCAAGTCCCCCGGACTGAGGGCATGCCTGCTTAGTTAGGCATCATTAATTGCTGCCCCTCCCTCCCTAGCCCCATTGGGCATTTGAGAGTTGATGTGGAAGTTGGTTTCTCATACCCTCTTGGGCGTAGCTGGCCAAAATAACAGCCCCTCGCAACAAAACACTATGGCAGTTGGTGGTCTGATCTAACAAAAGGGGCAGCCCGGTGCACAAGGCTCCCACCAATGCAGGGTCTGGGGAAGGACAATATATGCAGCCTTACACTTGCCCATACAGAGAAGGTGTTTACAAGAATTGAACCCTGGTCACTCAGGTCGCCTTAGCTATAGCTGAGAAATAAAATGTATCACCTTAGCTATAGCTGAGAAATAAAATGTCTAAGACCAAAATGGGAGCCAGCAGTTGGACTTTAACAATTTGGAGTATACAAGTAAGCAGAACAAACACTACTAAATTAATGATTGGCTCAGCAGGTTCATATTGGGGCATCAATCCATTTTCTTTAAGGGAGAGGCAAGTGGATAGGGAGTGAAAATAGGATTCCAAATTAACAATCATTCCAGATTGATTAACTAGATTCTAATTGGAGTTGTCCATCCCAAATTGGGACCCAAAGCTTCAAACCTGCATTCCCAGCTAAAGTTGGATTCAATACAAACATTAATCCATGTTTAATGTCTGAAATCTTAAACAATTGAGAGTTCGCCATCTTAAATTTTTTAACATCCACCCAAAGCAGTCTCTCTTGTAGTAACACCTCTTTAACCACCCCATATCCCTACCGCTTTGAAAGAATATACACAAACTTATCTCATAAACCAAAAAACAAATGGGATAATATTTCTATAATTAATAAATGGGCACTAAAGCAGAAATTAAAAAACTGAGGATTTTATTTATTCAAGTATTACACCTTCAAGAACTTCCTATTCAACCGTCATAAACAAATCTCAGGATCTGTAACCAACCACCTAGAATACCTGAATTTCTAGCCAGATCTCTAACAAACAAGGATAGAAAAAGAAATGAATGGATATGAATCAATCTAATTTATAAGTCGGTCTCTAACAGAGGCCTTCGTATCATCTTATTGTAACTGTTAAACATAATATTAATGAAAAAAATTGTTACTGATGAAAAGAAAAGAAATTAATGAAGAGCAAGAACTTCCAGCATTCACCATCCCCTAAAATCCAGCAAAAAAATCGGTCTCTAACAGAGGCCTTTTTATCCTCTAAATTTGCACAAACAAAAATAGCCAAAAGTATCAATGAAATGTTAAAATCTTAATCAGTAGATATATACTTAGATGGGCAAATAACTCCAACATTGGTAGGTCATTTTAGCAGATTGAAGACTAGTAAATCCAAATAAAAAATAAATAAATATCAGAACAACAAGCTAGATAACATCAAAGAGAGTAAAAATTAATTCACATACGTCATAACAACAGTTCTCTTTCCTCGACCATTTGCTCCTCCAATTACATTGACACGAGCTGAAACAGGCAGCTCTAAATTGGTGCCTATAATTTCTATCTTCATAGGTTTTCCATCCAGTATAACATTATTATATCGCTTAAGAGCAGCCAATGCATCACTTCTTCTGAGAAACACCACTTCTGCTGATCCCTGTAAGCAAGTATTGAGTGCCATCTTTTAAAACCACAGACCAAATTTATCCATACTACACAGTATATCAATGAGCTAACCTTACAACATTGACAAGTTCCATTATAACAATGCCAAGGAAAGTTCAAACTTATTCATCAAAAAAAAGAAAAGTTCAAACTTCAAAGGTATGTAGTTGGCCAATGTGAGGAACCTAAGATGTAGTGAATCAGTATAATCTACAAATAATCAGACAGAATCCTCAATAATTTTTTTTCAAATACCATGTTCAGACATGCATACATACTTGTCCACTCCAAAACACATACCCAACATGTTCTACATGCCTTGCATATATCAACCTCCCTCACTCCATACACCCTCCTCCCTCTGAAACACATATTACATATACAATTACTAAAATAGTATTACATTACTAACACAAGTAGCATGTTCAAAAGCAACTTAATCAAATTATAAGCATCTTGATATTGAAACTTTACTCATCATCCTTGGAGTATTTACCCACATACAGATCATACCATCCAACTTGAATAAAAAATGGACCTCGGGATTCTATTCCAAATTTGCCTTTCAATTATGGGATTCAATCTGAAAACATAGAATCCCTTCCCCACATTTATCTTCCAAATTCCAATCATTTGCAACTGGCAGCATCTAGGATGGCCCTAGAAAATGGCATTTTACAATGATGGAGCCTTTCTCCCATATGATGCAAAGCATTCACCAGTTATTACATGGAGTGTATACAAGTTTCACATAAACACTTTGACTAATCTCACCAAATACAGGAAAAAGCAATTATTCCAGGGATTGAAATTCCAGAAAGATTTTAGAGATACTACAATTAATTCAAACAGAGTTTTTCTTTTTCATTTTCAGTGCAAAACAGAAATACATAGCATAAATATAGAATATTAAGCCAAAAAATAATAAGGAAAAAAAAAGAGATACTAGGAATGCATATGGTTTTATTAAAACATTAATTTGTTCCTGTTTTTGAAATGTAATTTCTTTATTAGATTTTCCTTCTCCCTTTTTAGATAATTGATTTTCCTTCTATAAATCAATGCTATTTCTTAGACTTCATAACTTTTTCCCAGAAAATTTCTCAAATTTTGGAGTGAGGTCAAATCTAGTTCAGAAATCAGAACCAAAACCTTTACTTGTGGGGAAAAAAAAACATCTTCATTTTTGTAAACAATGTGCTGCAATGTATGATACATGGGATGACCAGAGGTATCACTGTTGTGTAGCATCTCATTGCACACGGATTACACTTGTATACATACATACACTTCTTTTAATTACTAAATACAGTTCTTACCAACTAAAGAAGTCAAAAGTATCAGGCTGATCATTGAACTTCCAAAGCTAGTGCCGCCACATCTATTTACTTTCTAAAATACATACTAACAAGCTTTAAATATGGCATATATGAACAAAAAAATATTGTTATAATAAAAATGATAGAACTTCAACCACACGATACAGCTACCAGAATGGTAGAAGAAAAACAACGGGCGGAGGAACTAGTGAACATTAACACATACGCTTGGGTGACCATTTCTGTCATAATGCAGGGCATATCTCTTCAGCTCTCCAATCTCAGAGAAAAGTTCCTGAATTACAAGTCAAATTTCAGCCAAGTCTTGATGAAAATTTCCTACACCCAAAACAACTGAATCAGCATAGGTATGCTCATATTGTACCTTGATATCTTCATTGGTAACTCCATAATCCAAGTTGGAAACATATAACTTTGTGCCATTGTCAATTCCTGATAACCCTGCAGCTATCAGGCTATCTTCAAACAAATCATGCTTCCATGAAAAATCCTTGGTTCTGCTGTAAGACTGATGAAAGTACGCGAACAACAATTCAGATTGGCAGAAGAAGGTGTCAGCACATGACCAAGAAATGGAACAATCTGGTCCTCGTCAATAGTCAATTGGAGACCAGCAAAGTTCCATAAAATGAAAGAGAAACTGCTAACAATGTAGTAGCCACTAATATTGAAATTCTGACAAAATCCAGAAAGTCAGTCCCTAAAATGATTATAACTAAAGCATACGGATGGAAATGGGCATAGAGAATTCCACCCACAACAAATAAACCGATGATATGTTACTGGTGAGAGCTCCAGTTCCGAAATTCAACCAGGATAGCTCCTCCGCATTGAACTCCATGAACTAGCATTATTATTGAAGGCCCGCAGTGTCGCAGTTCCACATATATCAAGAGGATCTATCACAATCCCCACTTTAATAACCCACTAAATATGGATAATCTGTGAAGGCATGCTATAGATGCACCAGAGACCAAGATTGCTTTAGTGGGTACTTCAAATTTGAGAATCTCCATGTACACAAAATCACCTTAATCCTCTCTTTTGTGTTTCAGTTCCTAAAGCAAGTGAGGTTCTTGTACATATGCAAAAAACAGCAATAGTTTTGAGCTTGCCTTGGCAATTGCGTAAGACGATGGCCGAGCATTGACCCTGAGAGGCCCTGTCCCTGTTGTTCTTCCACGGCCAAAGCTCCCTCCTCCTTGCCCTCGGCCTCGCCGGGGCCTGCCTCGTCCTCTACCTCTCTCACTATTATTCCTGTTCTTTATAATGTCATCCAGTGCCATATCTAGAGTATTTGCCATTGAACTAGAAGATTCAGTAAACCTTTTGCCAAAAATGTAAGTACACCAGCACCTGCCAAAAAAACCTGGACCAAATACCCAATAAAGTCATAAGAAACGAGTTCCAGAAGATAAAACAAACAAAACAAAAGTTAGGTCATAAAATTTTGTCACATCCAGTCAAAAACAGCTTGCAAATGAAAAAAAAAATGACAAATTGGGAAAAATGCAAGTTGCGGTAGGCAGACGGCAAAAGAAAAAAAAAACGAAAAGAAAATATTTGAAAAGAAGCTAAGTTCATCAAAAGCGCAAATAGAAAGTTGTGAAAATCCAACCCAGGCGGACGTAAACCCTACCAAATGAGACCACCAAAGAAACAGGAAAATCGTCACCTAAAAGTTCCAACTTCTGCATTCATAACCACGCATATGAACACCATTTGAAAATAAAACAGCTGCCTCAACAAACAAAACCCTAAATCTCTCAACAGAAAACTTTATCCCAGATTGAACAATGCCGAACTCGCAAAACCAAAGTCACAAGCTATAAACGAAAAACCAAAGAAAAAATAACAACTTTGAGCTCTTCATACCGCATTTATCAATCATTCAACATAACAGCAAGTACCTGAAGAAGATCTGCAGCGGCAGCTCACCAAGAACAGTGAGGGAAAGGCGAAAACTTGAAAATCCTTATTTTTCAAACTCTAAAGCTACAACCTTTCGTGATCCAAGGCAATAAATACGAGAAATTGTTCTAGGGTTTCGAAAAGAAGTGCGGAGAGAGGACAAAGACGCGCAACAAAGAAACAGACGAACGACGAGAGGCAGATATCACGAAACTCCGTGGGTCCTCCGGAGATATAAATAGATGGAGAGCTTCGGGAGATTGTTTAGGGTTTCGGGAGGAGGAAGAGAAGAGGAAGGGGCTTCAGGATTTCATTCTAGGGTTTCTGAAGGTTTACGACTTGGTCTCATGGAGTGGTGGGCGGGTAACTAAACGCGCTCTGGCTGAGACGAAAGTCAAGCGGAAGTCTTCCACTCTTTCCTTTATTAATAAGTAGCAGAAGAGCCAGTTGCCTAACGAGTTCGACCAATAGTGGTGCCTGCTTCGAGCTGTCGGGTCGGACAGCCACAGGCCATTGTGAAAGGTACACGTGTACGGTCCAACCATGCGATTAGTGAAACCCTAGAAATCATTGTCATCCGGACCAAAAAAGCTGATACGTATAGAGAACAGGGGATCGTGATACCAACTTACAGCCGTGGTTGCCGTTGGATTGGAACTTTGGAGTTCGTATGATTGTTTGTACCATAATTATTTGATGGGATGCTTTTATTTTGACATAAAGTTTTAAAATTTCTTTTTTTTTTTGGGTACGAGAATGAACCTATGGTGTTGAAAAGGCGACGAGGTGTGGGCCTCGTAGGCCCATGCCCAATGACCCGGCCTCGATAGCTTCTAAATGAAGGAAGTATATCCCTTTACATGGCTCTTTTCTTCTTTCTTGCTTTATGGGGCTACACACCGGGGGTAGCATTTAAAGCTTTTTATCTGTTATTAAAAAATTTGTCGATGGATCGGATCCATCTGACCCAATTAATAACTGGATCGGGATCTGTTGTTGTTCCATTAATGTGAATTGATTATGTGTGTGTTTTGTTCTATGGATATTACGTGATACACGTTTATCAAAACGTTGCTGTATCGTCATCAAATTAACGTTTTTTTTCATTATATTCATCTATACGCATTGACATTCACAAAAGTGAATTTTGATTTATATTTGCATCAATCGTTATGGGAAGCTTCATTTTAACATTTTCCCTTACAGTTGAGCAACTATTCACTATTCCATTGTTGTGGCAGATAATGGCACCTAATTGTCTATAAACGGTTTATTGAGTACTTTTCTCAGTTTTGAAGACAAATTAAGTACAAATGTTTATTTAATAAATGAAAGGTATACCAAACACATACTATATACCAAGATTCCCTGGCATTTTTCGTAAATAGTACGTAATCTAATTTTGGTTAAAAAAACATATAAATAGTTTACTGTCATTTTTATTAAGGCTATATTATCAATAATATAATTTAAATTATTATCCCAATTAATAATTGATTCAATTATGGGTTTGTCATATAAAACTAATTAATAATAGAATATTATCTAAAACTTACCATGACTTTTTTCCACTTCTCTTAAATTCATAATTACTTTTCAAAACATCTACACAACCCCCGGTCATTGAGTTTTAAGTATTTTACATGACCAAAATATCTCTAAATGGCCAATCAAGCTTATTAAATATTTTTATGACAAAATTACCCTAGTCCTAGGCTTTGACCCACACTAGGCCCACAAATTTTAAAGTTAGACTTGGGCCCAATACTTCAAACCTAGCTTAGGTCTATCGTAGTTAATAAGGTTGATTAGCCATTTTAGGGGTAATTTTGTCATAAAAATATTCAATAAGGTTGACTAACTATTTTAGAGGTAGTTTAGTCTTGTAAAATACTTAAATGTTCTCATGGATAGCTTTTATTTATTAATAATCACTAATGGTCATTTAATGGAAATCTTAATTGAATGTGGATTTTAGACAATAAAACTCAATGAATTGGGGTGTTGTGGATGTTTTGACTAAGAGAAATGTAAAAAAGTCATGGTGAGTTATAGACAATATCCCATTACTTATTGATCTATCATGTCGCTAACCACACTAGGCCTATTGATAGCTTTAACTTGAACCGCATCTAACTTCATATAATGGACTTTCATAAATTCAATTTTATTGGGCTTTATTCAAAAAACGTTTATTTGCTTTTGGTAAATTACTGAAATCTAACCTGAAGTTTCTAGTTGTTGCTGAAAAAACCTCCTAAAGTTTGGTAATTGCAATCACCTTCCTCGAACTTTCTAACATAGTTGCAAGTAGACCCCCTTTGTCAAAATCCTCTAAAAGAAGGCATGGGTATTTTGGGAATTTTCATGCCTCTTGTTAGCAGATTCTAACAAAGGGGTCTACTTGCAACTATGTCAAAAAACTCAGTAGAGGTGATTGCAATTATCAAACTTTAGGGGAGGTTTATCAGAAACTTTAGGGAAAGGTTTCAACAATTTACCCTGTTTTTGCATGTGATGTGGCTTTTTCCCCCAAAGTGATAGAGTGTTTATACACTAAACCAACTTAGTTGGTTAATAGGTTGGTGGTAGCAAGATACATGTGGAGGCCTATTGGCATTCACTAAATAGATAGCTTACACTATATGGCTTTTAACATGTGCCTTCATAAAGGGAGGGATGCTCCGCGATCAACTGAAATACCCATTCATTGGCCTTAGGTCTTTTTCTTAATTTGTCATTGTTCATACTTAACCAATTGGCCATGGTAGTGAAATATATTATTTTCATGTCTTTTTTTGCTATGGTATTGCTTATCTATCTTCTACCAATCTTTTTTTTATGGAAAAAATGCGAGCTACACAAGCCTGGGGGTAGTTCTTCCCCTTACATCTGCTTCACAAATAAAATTAAAATCATAAGACCTAAACTCATTACTGCCCTCTCGATTATTAAGAGCTTTACGAGCTAACCAATCAGCTAATTGATTCACTTCCCGAAACACTTTTGCCTAAAAATGAAGTTTTCCAATACATTAGTTTGAGATTATTCGCTTCTTGATACATAACCTATCACAAAAATTAAAGACATCCTAAATTATAAAAACATAATCCAAATCGATCAACTTGCTCTTCGGTGTCTTACAAGGGAAGATATGGGGTTACAATTTTGAAAGGCCATGTTTGTTATCAAGCTATTTACTTGGATAAATGCATTTATCCATTTAGGCTTAGTTTGGAAAGAGTACAAATGCAAATATGTACAGCGTAAAATACATACAAAATAATACAAAATATAAGGTTTTGCACTCTACATATTTGCATTTGTACTCCTTCCAAACTCAACCTTAAGTGTTTCCTAGGTAAGCGCATTTACCTATGCTATTTTTTGCCCAAATAAGTTTTTGTATTACCACTTTTACCCTTGTAGCTTCTTGTTGTTAAAGCTTGTTTACTTTTGTTGAGCTTGTTTTAGCATATTTCTCCCCTTCCTCAAAGGTGGGAAAGTTACTTACCCACTTAGGAGATGAACCCATAAAAAACTTCATTTGCCATGGGATGACCCGCTCTTCCCCCCTCCATTTATTGAAAAAGAATGTGCCTAAAGCATGTTGGAAATCTCAAAATAATGTTTTTAGGCAAAGTCTATGGTGCATCCATTGCACCATGCATAAAAAGACATAAACCAATGATATCTCTAGTTCATGTTTGTCAAACATCAAAGAGTTTTGTGCTAAACATGAAAGTACATTGTGAAACACAAATCAATGAAAAATAAGACATCTTTAACGTGATTGGTTGAGACCTAGGTGTGACGTATAGCCAATATTCGTGAATGCACCATAATTGAACTTGTGTTTGCATTGACCAAATTGCCTTAACATATTGTTGTTACCATATATGTATTGACGGAAACGGGGTTTTATGAGTTCACACAATTGGGAATAGTTCAAACCATAAATTCCCCCAAGAAAAGATTAAATAGGCAGTCTGAGTTCCATTAGCATTTTCCTATTTATTTTACAACATTCAAAGATAAAATAACAACCCATTAATATAGAATGCAACTACACATTTGATATTGAGCTATACAAAAGCTATGATCAATTACTCTTGAAAACAAATGTTGAAGAGTGGAGGGTTTTATTTTTCTCCTCCCATTCCCAAGTCATCCTTGGGCCTAGTTACTATTGAACTAGGGGCTCAATACTGAAAATAGTCAAATATAAAAATTGGGTTTTCAGCATTATCCTCATCACAACTAAATCTTGGAAGGATCATAATGCTAAGATCTTTATTTTAGCCCTCAAGTTTTTGTTATTTACCAATACTACCCCTTGTTTATGGGAGTTTTTAGTTGGAATCATTTTGATATTTAGCTTTTACACTTATTTTATCAATCACCTAGCCACTAATAACTTGATGGCAGTTTCAAGTTACATTGGATCCATGTGATCTTTATACTCCTTCAACCTTAGGTGTAGTGCCAATTCTTAATTTTCTTGTAAGCTCTGATTATTTCATCTCCTTTTCTTTTTCCTCTCTTTAATTTTATAATATTGTAGTTTTCACAAAATTTTAGTTTCAATTTTCTTACTTCTTAATCTAGCCTCTATATTTCAAGTTTTCAGCCTTGATTTTTCATCATACGCTCTCACCTCCCATCACCTTTTCATTTTCTAAATTATAACTTTTGTTTCCAACCTTGATAAACAACTTTTATAGGCATCTCTTTACTCATTCAACATTAGCTTACGTGTTTTAAAAAGGATTTCCATAATCATTCTAAACCCAATATTAATTTTAAATCCATGTTTAACTATTTATACTCATTTAGGACATGCAATTTTACAACTTTAGCCCTATATAACAATAAAATTTAACAAAAAATCTTACAAATTTCTAACTTTTCCATGAAAATATTACTAATAAATTAACAAAGGCATTATAGGAGTAGGCAAGCTTGATACCTGGTAACAAGAAGAATATAAAACTAAAAAATTTCATCATGTGTTCTTTATGTGTAGTTCTTCATTTCTTCCTTTCCTTCTTTTGGCAATAAATTATCAAAATCCAAATAAGTTTTATAGAGCCCTATAGCTCAGTTCAATTTGATCAATGTTGAATAATTGAAGACCTAGTGATGAACTACACTGTAGCAATCCTTGAGAATAATTTGGTACCCTAGACTTATGTTCGATTCTCACTTCAACAACTTAACAAAGTTGTTTTAGATGTTGTTGCCATAGGGAATAATAAGGATTGCAAGTTGTGACTTTTTTATGCCCCTTCTCTTTTCTAATCTTAGTGCAAGTTTAATATGCTATCTTGAAGTTAACCATTTCAAAAAGAAAAAAATAAATAGGTTGAAAGTTTAACCAACAAAGCTAATTGATGGGGGTGGATTTGGCCCTCT